AAAATTTAGTTTTATCTCATGCCTCCATGAGATTGTCTGTTGGCAAGTCTGTGGGGAATTTTCTTAATTAGTGATTGATGGATATGGGAGGGCCCACCTCACTGTGGGTAGTGCCACCCCTGGACAGGTGGTCGTGGGGTGTATAAGAAAGCAGGCGGAGAAAGCCAGGAGAAACAAGCCAGTAAGCAGCATCCCTTCATGCCTTCCGCTTCAGTTCCTACCTCCAGGATCTTGCCCTGACTTCCTTCAGTGATGGACTGTGAGGGGGCCACTCTAAGATGAAATAAACCCTTTCCTCCCCAGTTGTTTGTGGCCATAGTGTCTCATCACAGCAACAGCAACCTTAACTGAGACATGCATTTTACACAAAATGTGCAAATTAACATTAAATGAGTTTGAACTTATATAAATATTGAACATAGTTAAAAGAGAAAAGGGGAAAAGAGTCATTTTAAAATAAAGTATTATTGCTTCTCCATCTTTTGGCAAAGATCAAGCATGAAATGAAGTGTCATCTTCTTCCTCCTCCTCCTCCTCCTCCTCCTCCTCCTCCTTCCTGGGTCTTCTGGCCACAGCACAGGGTTATGATAATTGTAGATTAGAAGGAAAACATTGTAAAGTTCTGTAAGTGTTACACATCAGGTAGGTAAGACTGATATGTCCTTGATCCAACATTTTTACTTCTATATATACATGAAAAATAATGTATGTACATCATTATGATATAATAGTGAACAATTTAAAAGTCAATGTCCAGCAAAATAGGCAGCTAGCTAAACAGGACGTTTCTCTGCTGAATATTAGGCACTCAGTAACTTGAGCAGAACGACTCGTGATTTGGAATGGGCTCCGAGGTGTTAAATGAGAAAAAGGACACAGAATATTGTGTGACCCTTCATGCAAGGGAGTGAGTGTCTGTACGCATGTGTGCATGTATGTGCACAAATTGGTTTTATGCACAAAACATGCTATATCTGGAAGGCATAAAATATAAGACAGAGTGGTTTCTCCTGGAAGGTCCATGGAGTGGACTTTCTGAATTTAACACTCTTTTAAAGCACTTCAAAATACTGGGAAAAAATGCCTAAGTGAATGAAGGCTTAGACCAGAGTGCGGCTGGCCTGTGATGACGTGAAATGAATCGTACGCCATTACTCCCATCCCTCACACCCCTGCCCAAGGCTGACTTAGTGCCTCCCTGTGCCCTCACTATATTGAGCCACAATCCCCTAAAATCCTATGGTGTCATAATTGCCTATTTCCATCTCTCTGCCTTCCTGGACCACATATAACTTCAGGAAAGCTTCCTGCCTCTAACAGGCCCTTGGCATGCAATGGGCACGCGTCTGTAAATGACACATAGATTCCCTGACATCCGTCTGGGAGAAGAATGAGGTCTGGTTCTCCTCTCTGAGAAATCCACGGGCAGAGGGAGGGAAAAGTATGATGGGTGTGAGTGAAAAAGAGAAAGAAAGGGGGAAAGAACGTGACTGGTCCTGGGTAGAGTGGAGGAGAAGGCTTATTATAGAGCATAGCCAGAGGCAGGGGCATCTGGGAGAGTCCAGAGTGGACCTGACCCGGAGCCATCAGGGGAGATGGAGAGGGGAGAGAGAGGATCCAGGTGCAGCAGCCAGGAGGCCCAAAGGAGAGCCGAAAAGAGCATGTAACCAAAATGGTTGGACTATATAAGGGAAGGGCAGCTGCGGGAAGCGCAGCCCAGCTCTTGGGCTGGATAAGTTTAGGGTGGGAGTGGGGTGTGCCATCCAGGAAGGCCCTGTCACAGGAAGGGTCTGAGGCATACAGGGAGAGCCTGGCAGCCAGTGTCCGCTTTGATATGTTAAGCAGGCACCTTGGCCATTTGTTTCAGTTTGAAAGCTGATGGTATGAGTCTTCCCGGGACAACAGGCTGCATTTAGCAAAGACACCGAGACTCGCGGGTAAGCTTTGGGAAAAGTGCCTGATAACGGTTTGAATCTGAAATTCCTATAGTCTCATGCATTTGAGCAGTTGGAACCCAGCTGGTAATGCTGTTTGGGGAGGCTGTGGAACCTTTAGGCAGCAGGACCTAGCTGGAGGATGTTGGTTGCTGTGGGCTGGACTCTTGATGGGTTACAACCCAGCCTCAGTTCTGGTCCAAAGAGACCTGTTTCCTAATCCACCACGATGTGAGAAAGCAGCTTCCTGCTCCTGCCGCCAAGATAAGAGCTGTTTCCAGCATCATCCCTGTAATGATGGACAGTTTCTTCTTAAACTGGGAGCTGAAATAATCTGCGCCCCGCCCCCTTACATTTTTCCTTCTGGCGATAAGGGAAGTAACTAATACAGCATCCTAGAACCAAGTCAGGGTTGCAGCTAGGAGGTGGTGTGTGGGCCTCCCCAAAGGTAGCAGTTGGAAAGGATTAACCATGAAGGTTGCAACAGAAAGGATCCCATGTGGTAAAGGCAGAAAACAGGGGGACACACAGACTTGACCAGGCATGTACTTTCTTGATTCACTCTTCCCGGAGGCAGATGAGAGGGGCCATGACCTTTCTACTGAACCACAGACCTCAGCATCAGAGCCCTGCTGGGAGGGCTCAGTGGCACAGAAGCCTAACGCTCAGCTGCTGGGTCAACACATGAAGATGGATCCAGGGGAAGCCAGCCAGAACCCCTGCATCTTTCTCCAGCCCAAAGACACCTTCAGCTAGTGCAGGAAAAAAAGAAAGAAGGAAGGAAGGAAGGAAGGAAGGAAGGAAGGAAGGAAGGAAGGAAGGAAGGAAGGAAGGAAGAAAGGGATGTTCTTGTCCCACCCTGTCTTCTAAGGAAGGTTTTACTTGGGAGCTCCAAATTCATTGTTCTAGAGCAGTGTTTCTCAACCTGTGGGTCACAGCCCCTTTGGGGGTCTCATCAGATATCTTGCATATCAGATATGTACATTATAGTTCATAACAGTAGCAACATTACAGTTCTGAAGTAGCAACAAAATAATGTTAAGGTTGGGGGTCACCACAACATGAGGGACTGTATTAAATGGTCATGACATTAAGAAGGTTGAAGTCCTCGGGGGAGACCTTGATCTGGAGGAGGTGGGAATGGGGGGGTGGGCTGGGGGGGAGGGAGAGGGTGGGGGGAGAGCATGGGAATCTGTGGCTATTATGTGGAACTGAATGGTGTTGTAAAATAAATAAATAAATAAATAAATAAATAAATAAAAGAAAAAAAAAGGTTGAGAACCACTGGCCTAGAATAAATGCCTCAAAGGGACTCCACCGGCTTCTTGGTCCCTGTTACGAGAGAAGAGAACAGTCACGTTTAATATCAGGATGTGTATTGCCCTACAGTGAAACTCAGTGATAAGTATATCTGGCTTAGCATTATCTCCCGATAAACACTCTGGATAAATTATATGGAAGCTTAAGAAACGTGGAGTGTCCAAGAAAGGACTGTTATTCAAGGCAGAGGTCCTTGAGTACTGGTTTGGACTTTTGCTTGTTTGTTTTACCCCGTTGTGCTGGTAACTGAGCGTGTTTCCTTAGGCCCATTCCCTGCTGCGGTTCTCATGAAGCTAGCCTCCTAGGGAGGTAGGGACACATCTCGGGGCTGGCCAATCGGAGAGCTCTGTATCTCTAGTCATAAGGATTGGTTCACAATTGGGCATGCGCCTTCATGCGTGCTAGGTAGGCCAATCAGAGTCCTTTCTTGGTGGAGTGCTTGAGGAAGCTCCATGCTGAGATCAGTTTGATCCTGATCTAGATGGGAAATGGGAGTAGATGCAGGTAGAGTCCTGTTGGTATTATTCTGGCCTCTGTCGGTATATAGAGTCCTGTTGGTATTATTCAGCACCACCTGAAGCAAGATCAACTGTCAGTTCCTCAGTAGATTTATTATCGTCACTTACATCCTAAAAGGCCTAATTTATTTATTTGTTTGTTTATTTTTATGTGCATTGGTGTTTTGCCTGTGTAAGGGTTCTGGGTCCCCTGGAACTGTAGTTATGGACAGTTGTGAGCTGCCATGTGGGTGCTGGGAATTGAACTCGGTTCCTCTGAAAGAGCAGTCAGTATTCTTAACCGCTGAGCCATGCCTCCAGCCCCCAAGGCTGAATTTATTGTGTCTTTCAAAAAACCAAATGGAAATCTTTAATCATTTTCACTACTACTAATCATTTCATGATTCTTTAAGGCTGGGTTGACCGTCTTTTCTCTCAAGAAGTCTGCCCAAACCACGTTATTATGTAGACTGTGTAGTTCAGATTGCATTCTCTCATCCTGGTTTGTCTGTAAGATTATAATTAGGAGAGGAGGTAGAAGTTTCTGGACGCTGTGGATCCTTCCATGTAGCAGAGGAACGCCTAAAGTTAGGAGTGTCATGCTGGTTGTGAAGGTCTGTATACTGGAGTCACTCCTGGAGCAGAAGCAGGGTAGGAGAAAATGTGAAATGTGTGTGTGTGTGCATGCATGTGTGCGCGTTTTCCCCCGAGAGCAGAGGCAACGTGTGCATCCCTGTGTGTGGTGAGCAAGTGCAGGAGGACTGAGCAGAAAGTCAGGATCTCCAGGCAGCAGGACCAGCTCAGAGACAAGTTCCTGCATGGCTTGCAAGAGCCCTGAAGCCCAGGTGTGTGTGTGTGTGTGTGTGTGTGTGTGTGGTGCTGGACTCAGCAATGCCCTGTGTATGGAGTGAAGGGTGTAGTCTTGGGTGGGACTTTCTTTACATTTATTTTCCCAACTCAGCTTTAGCTCTTTACCCACCAAGACCTGGGTTTATTCGTTCCTGACTCCTGAGCTTCCAGATAGGGCTTGTATGACTCCAGGCATAGGAGTTGGCGCTAAAGGAACAAATGAAGGAATGAATAATAGGCTCCAGATGATGGGCTGGCTAGAGCATGCTTTCCTCCTTGGAGCATCCCAGTGGGGCACCCTTTCAACAGTCTAGTGGACCAGTGTGCCCCCCCTCTTTCTCTCTCTGTCTCTGACTCTCTCTGCCTCTGTCTCTTCTGCCCCCACCTTCTTCTCCTCTAGGTTTCAATTTGGACATGACATCACCAGGAAGCCTTCTCATGCATATGTCTGAAGAAGTGCCCCTCGAGGTGCCCACAGATTCTTCCTGCAGTTTGTGAAACTGCTCATCATCCAGTTGCATCATCAATCCCAGCATGCACGTTGGCATTGTTCTTCCTGTGGCATCCCAGAACAGAGATCTCTAAGGTTCTGTTTGGCCTTCCCCTCCATTTTATGGTCTCCATGGCTCAATGGCGAACACTTGTGTGGAGGATACGCACTGTGGACCATGGGTGGCTTCTCCTTACCATCACGGGGTCATTCACTGCCACTGCCCCGCATCGCAAAGGGGGATCAGGCTGTGCATGCTAGCCTGGAAAAGATCAGGATTCTAAATTCAAAGTCACATCTATACTGAAAACTTATCACTTTCACACCAAGGTAAGGTTGACAATTCAGGTTGAATTATGCGATGTTGGGGGCCATGATGAGTTTATTTACTTTCATAGCTCAGCTTTGTCTCTTTACCTACAGAGACCTGGGTTTAAGTTCCCAACTGGCCCAGCTTCTTCTATACAGGCTAGCACATTGCCAGACACAGGAGTTAGGGCTAAAGGGATAAATGAAGGAATGAGTTTTAGGGTCCATCCCTGTAGTTTGGATTGCACTCCCTCGTATTGGTCTGTTTTGTAAGATTATAATTGGGGGAGGAGGTAGAAGTTTCTAGACACTGTGGGTGCTTCCAAATGGCAGAGAAGCTCTTGAAGTTAGGAATATCACGCTAGTTGTGAAGGTCTGTATACTGGGTCACTCCCAGGGCAGAGGCAGGGTAGGAGAACATGTGAAGTGTGTGTGTGTGTGTGTGTGTGTGTGTGTGTGTGTGTGTGTGTGTGTGTGTGTTGGGAGCCATCCTGGCCTTCTAGTCATGAGGGAAAACTACCCATAGTTAATGGTGTGTGTAACCTATAGGGAGTGCAACGTGATTGTTCCTAAGCTCTGGTGTTCAGCAGGCTACATGTGTTAAATACACTTCAGATCATGGTACTTTCAACTTACAATGGACTTATGGGGATGTAACCCTCTTGTAACTCCAAAAGAATCTATACACTGTAGATCCTTCCTCCATCTCTCGTGAGTGGACCCAGGTTAAGTAGGGAGCCCTCCATACCGAGATGCGCTTAAGGGCCACCGGGAGACTTTCTAGTCTCAACTCCAGTGTGTGTCGCTGCTAGTTATCAAGACAGGAAAGACCAGGTTGGGGTGGGGACATAAATGGAAAGTTCTGTGTTATCAGTGCTAACCCCGAAAGCCTGATACACAGCCAAAGGGAGGTGACACATTAATGTGAGCCTGTAGCTCAGTGGAGAAGTCAGAACAGAAGACGCATGAGTAGGCGGCATCAACTAGGGTGGCTCTGAGAGGTGCAATGAGATCATTTAGGTGGAGGAGTCTGGGGGAGAAGTGAAAGCCTGTGACCAAGGGCTGACGTAGAGACTGAGCCCAGAGGGGAGCCTGAGACATGGGAAGGGAGGAGGGAGGGAGGGAGGGAGGGAGGGAGACACACAGAGAGAAGAGAGAGGTG